GAAATCCTCACAACTGGACCAATAAGCAACATCATGATAAATGGAGAAAAGATTGAAGTTGTCATGGATTTCCTTTTACTTGGATCCACAATCAATGCCCATGGAAGCAGCAGTCAAGAAATCAAACGATGTATTGCACTGGGCGAATCTGCTGCAAAAGACCTCTTTAAAGTGTTAAACAGCAAAGATGTCACCTTGAGGACTAAGGTCCGCCCAACCCAAGCCATGCTATTTTCAATCACCTCACATGCATGCGAAAGCTGGACAATAAATAAGGAAGATCAAAGAAGAACTGATGTGTTTGAATTATGGTGTTGGCAAAGAATATTGCACATGCAACGGACTGTGAGAAGAATGAACAAATCTGTCTTGGATGGTACAGCCAGAAAGCTCCTTAGAAGCAAGAGTGGCGAAACTTCATCTCATGTACCTTGAACATGTTATATCAGGAGGGACCAGTCCCTGGTGAAGGACATCATGCTTGGTAAAGTAGAGGGTCAGCGAAAAAGAGGAAGACCATCAGTGAAATGGATTGACACAGTGGCTGCAACAATGGGCTCAAATATAGCAATGATTGTGAGGATGGCACAGGACAGGGCAGTGTTTCGTTCTGTTGTACATCGGGACTCCGTTAGTTGGAATCAACCCAACAGCACCTAACAACTAACAGCCAGTTAGTTAGATAATTCTAGGTAATATTTTCTGGATCCTTCACAAAGTGCATTCAAGTACCACAAATATTACATTTTTAGGGTATCACAATGAATGAAATGCTCACTTATGTGGTAATGCAGGAGAGTAGTCTAAAGAAAGAGAAAACCTCTAGGTAGCAACAAGGTCTATGCAAGCGGCAGCTTCCCCCAGTAACTTGCTGTCTATCCATGCAGGGGTTTGACTCAGGAGTTCTGGAAGACTGAGTGAACTAGAATTATGGTGGTAATTTATATATGAGGGATAGTGTGAGAATCAGTGAGGTTGGAGGAAATCTTTCCTACATACCTTGTGAATAAGAAATTGTATACACCCAGCCCTGTTGTCTCCTCTGAGTATTCAACAGTCATCATCACACACGCCTTGTCTACTTAGGTCTAACGCGGGCACCTCAAACTCAGCATGCTGTAAATGAACACATCTTGTGCCCCATTGCCGCAACACCTGCCCAGACTCACTCCCCACCCTGTACCAATGCCCCTCGATAAAGGCTCCACTATCACCACCCAGTCACCCAAGCCAGAACCCTGAGGGTCAGGCTTATCTCATCCCATTCTTCATGCCCCACACATCCATTCATTCAGCAAAGGAATCAGGATTAAAGAGTGTACACATGCTGTACTCAAAAGAGCAAAGGGCATAGGAGAGATTAGTAGGGTGACCAGCTGACCCAATATTAGCACTGAAAGTTTTGCATCCCAGAAGATTTCTCAGTCCTAAGACCGGGACGGTTGGCCACCCTGGATAAAAAGGGATCTGGGAGCACAGTAAAGGCTCCGCAGAGAAGATGACACCCAGAAGAAAAGAGGGACTTTGAGCAAAGACATGAAAGTAAGTATCATTGGTGCCTGTTACTGAAGTGTAGCGTTTGAGGCATGTAGTGGTGAGAGGATGACTCTGAAGAGGTAGGCAGGGGCAGGCTAGGGCTGGGAGAGCTGTATAAAGAACCCAACCACGTGAGTGTCAGGGGTTTTTTTCAGAGAAGTGAAATAGCCATGTTTGCAATTGTAGTCAGAGGTTCTGAGACTGGACCGCAACATTTTTGAACCATTGGCGGCTGCAAGCAGAAGAGCTGTTGTTTTTAAATTATCAGCAATTTGTCTACTGTGATTCTAAAGGTAGAAACTATAATTTGTCTTGGGGACAAATGATTTCCCTTGCTTGGGAAGGAATTCCATTGAGCTCTATCTTAGTAAAGCAGATATAAAATAAGTATCCACGTGTCCTTGGCATAACCCGAAACATTGGTGAAATAATCCAGACATGGAGCCAATCACAGGGGATGAGGAAGGTCGTTCAGCTTGAGTTGTCTATCACATCTGAGCTGCAATGGATTGCCCACAAGGGGAAAAAGTGGTAAAGTCCTCTGAAACTATACTGCTTATGATAGCTTTCCAAGTTATTTAATATTAACCATTAATGTCCTTATCATAGTCTGTCTCAGAGGTCAGAATGAACTTCTTATCAGCTACAAGGAAGTTGGGATCGAGTAAATGTCTATTTACAAATGCAGTCATCCAACAGCCTGAAACATCAGGGACTCTGAATTCTACTCTAGACTTTGTATAGGAACAAGGGTCGATATGATCTACGTACAGTTCTCAGGTATACTTAAGAAAAAAATGAACTTCAGTGAAATACTAGCCTGATTCCTTGTGGTTATATTATAAAATACAATAATTGCTCTACCAAACATAAAACTCAGTGTAATAGAAGAGCTGGAAAAGTCTCCTATCCTTATATAAATTCCCTGTAGGTATTTTTTACCTCAATAAATTAGTAGATTGGTTAACTGAACCCTAAAATAATAGTCTTATTGTATCGTATTTTAGTTTAAATTTGAAATCTAAAACACCTACAAGTACTTGCCAAAAATTGGTGGAATAACACACAGACAAAGTTATTTCTCCAAAAAAATTAAAAACGGAATTTTAACTCTTTGACTTAAACATAATTGGGTTTGGCCATAAAGAAGAGTTACGCTATGATAAAGAGAACGAACCTTATCATATGTAATAACTGTGTTTATGTTCTTTTCTAGCTATAAAGCTAACTATTGATTTAAATAATGCTTCTTCACACCTCAATCATACATGTTTGTATATGAGACTCTTAGCGGAGACTAACACACTGCAAAACTTGTGTAATTTAAACAGTACCATTTCCCAGTGACTTTAATCAAGCAATCTCCTCCTCCCCCATTAAGCAACAATAAAAAACACATTCATTCTGTGAATACACTATAAAGAACACAGTTCACATGTTCATAAAGAGTTCTCCTTTACTACAGATTTTAGCTGTGACGTCTATTTACAAAGTAACTGACAGCTCTGTAATAAATAGCAAGATCTGCTTGTTACGTGTTCAGTCACTGATAGTGGGCATTCAGTGAGTACTGGCTGATGATTATACGAATGAATGGATAAAAATTTAAGTAAGAACAATCCACATATAGACCATAAAATGCATGAGATAGATTTAATTCTACATCTCAATTTTTACTTTCATAATATAACTGAGACAAAATCTAATACAAAGCATTATTTTAAGATATACTGCTTGTAAAAGACAAATAAATAGTCTTATCTTGTTTTGGAAGAAGGACGTAAAAGAAACTCAACTCAAAGTAAAAAAGCCACTGGTTTTCAGAACAACCACCAGGAAAAAAAAAGTCACAAAACCAGACAATCCTACATTATTTTTTAAAAAAATGTGCAGGAATTTGGTATATGCATTTTCAGGCGTTTGGTTTTGTTTTTCGGTATTTACTTGCTTGCTTTAATCACATACAAACCAATTCAATTAAAGTATCAGGATGAGAATTAACGAGGTGTTTTCTGTGACTTTTCCAATCCGGTTGACTTAACCTGATTAAGGAAGCAATTTAAATGTACCAGGAAATGTGTGAATCCTCAGCCAGTGGTTTTAAAAGAGGGCAGCAAATGAATAATTTCTGTTCCGTTCCACCAGCATGTATTGAGTACCTACAATCAAATATCCACTCATGAGATCCCTCCCATAATTTACTAGGTGTTTGGAGGTTCACAGGTGGGTGCCGTGGCCTCCAGCCCCACCACGGAAGGTGAGCACAGCCCCAAGGCGCTACACACACCCTTTCTTCTACTGGCCTCCTACTGTGAGTGTGGGGACCTGTGAGGAAGATCATACTACTGCAGAAGGCAAAATTCGCTGGAATTCTAGGAGGGGGCAACTGTAGCTGCAGTGGAGCCTGTTTCATGCTGGGTGTTGAGCTCACCTATTACAGGGAAGAAAGACTCCGTTCACCAGACCAGGTGCAATTTATTCTATGTTATATCTATTATATTCTATCACTATTCCATTTATCCTGTTTCTTGGTAACAGGATCTAGAGCCAGACAGTGATTGAGAAATTTAAATGATTATTTAGTCATAGAATATTAGAATTAGGAAAAAAAAAACCTTCAAAATTATCTAGTCTACTGCTCACCTAAATTCATTTCATTCTTGTCCTCAAACTATATCGCCAGATGTATAAATGTTTCATTCCTATTGTAAATATTTGAGGTTTCTGTTTGTACAAAATATGTTAAAAGTTCTTATAAAATATTAAATAGGGATAAACTTAAAAGTAAAAAAAAAAAAAAAAGAACAAATGTTCTGAAAAGTGATTCAGTAATATGTATAGATCATTGTTCTTTATACAAGTGTTGTAGGGTGCTGACCTCATGTGACAGAATAGAACTGCCCCCTTAGGATTTTCTTGGCTGTAATCTTTACAGAAGCAGATCACCAGGTCCTTCCCTCCCATGGAGCAGCTGGGTGGGTTCAAATCACCAACCTTTCAGTTAGCAATTAATCATTGTGCCACCAGGGCTCCTTTTATACCAGTGTCACTTACTATTATGTACCCACATCTGGCATTTTAAATACCTAAATTATTCATGAGAATTGTAAATATTCTTTATGTGTATATTAGAATGAAAAAAAATCAGTCAAGGCAGGTGCAAGGGCTGAAGGAATACACCTTCCTGTTTCCTTTTGTTACCTGTTTTAAAAAAGAAATCACCCTTGAGAAAAGTCTCTAAGAAATGCCTCCAGTTGTAATAGCTGGAACAGAATCAAACATTGCTGTACCAAAAAAAAAGGCAAGGCAAGATAGACTGTGGTGTCAGCCTCCAGGTGTCCTGTCAGCAGAGGAGGAGTCTCACTCCTGTGAACTCTATAAGACATCAGCCCAGTATTCACTGTGACAGAACTCCTCCGCTCCACCCATTCTGAAGCTACAGGTGCTCTCTCCTAGAATCCCTGATGGATATCCATCACAGAAGCTTCCCCAGAATCCTGAGTTCCCCCTCGCAGGGCTCAGCACTCAGTATGAGTGGGTCCCTGTATAGGAAGGGGGGCGTGCAGCACCTTGGTGGTGCACCTAGCGTCTTTGGCGGGGCTGGAGGCCACGGCACCCGCATCTCGACCTCCAGAGGTGTAGTGAGCTATGGTGGCGAACTCACCAGCGGGGACCTGTTTGGTGGCAATGAGAAAACGGTCATGCAGAGCCTAAATGACCGTCTAGCTAGCTACCTAGAAAAAGTGCAGACCCTGGGGCAGTCCAACTCCAAGCTTGAAGTGCAGATCAAGCAGTGGTATGAAACAACTGCTCCCCAAATCAGTCGAGACTACAGTGCCTATTACAAACAAATTGAAGAGCTGCAAAATCAGGTAAGAAATGCTGCCCTTGTTTTCTACTCCATTATTTAGCTGCATGATGGATTAAAAGGGCATATATGTTAGGTGGGTCAAAACAGACATTGTAAATCAAGTTAGGCTAATGCTATATTCTATCATCTACCCTAGTGGTAAGTACCTGACTGTATAATAGAGCGACTTTAAATCAAACTATTCTGAATTATTTAGCACAATTACATACAAAATAGGCAATTCTTATCTTCCATTGTTATAATCTGTACTTTGTCACAGTTTACCAGATCAGGACTACATGGATTGTAAACTTTTTTTTCTGAAAAGAGCTAGATTATTTTTTATGTGGTAATAAATCTTCCTTAATTTTTCTCTTAGTCCAACAGACTTTCAAAATCCCAGTCAATTCAGGATTTTCTCCTTTCATTTATGTAAATGTTACAGACAAGTGTTAGAATACCATATCATAGATTTATATGATAAAGTGATTCAGGGTAGAAACGGGGAGAGAGTAAGTAAAGGTCCTAATTCTTAATGATGTCGGGTTTATAAATCCCCTACTTAATAACCTGATCATCATGACCAAGCAGTTCAGAAACTTTTGTTGTTGTTAGGTGCTGTCAAGTTGGTTCTGACTCATAGTAACCCTATGTACAACAGAACAAAACACTGCCCTGTCCTGCGCCATCTTCATGATCTTTATTATGCTTGAGCCCACTGTTGCAGCCACTGTGTCAGTCCATCTTGTTGAGGGTCTTCCTCTTTTTCGATGACCCTGTACTTTACCAAGCATGATGTCCTTCTCCAGGGACTGATTCCTCCTGATAACATGTCCGAAGTATGTGAGACGAAATCTCACCAACCTTGCTTCTAAGGAGCATTCTGGCTGTACTTCTTTCAAGACAGATTTGTTCATTCTTTTGGTAGTCCATGGTATATTCAATATTCTTCCCCAACACCATAATTCAAAGGCGTCAATTCTTCTTTGGTCCTCCTTATTCATTGCCCAGCTTTTGCATGCGTATGCGGTAATTGAAAACACCATGGCTTGGTCCTTAGTCCTCAGGGTGACATCTTTGCTTTTCAATATTCCAAAGAGGCCTTTTGCAGATTTGCCCAACGCAATGTTCAAAAACTACAGTATAAAATGTTATATGGCTCCCAATTCAAATTTATTGCAATCATATCAGAACCTGTTCCCATGCCATTCAAGAAAGGTGAAGTTCTCTGTTTTATCAATTGCATGGAATAAGCAGAAGACTTTGCTCCTAGTTGAAAGGTTTCAGATATGACACAGATCACCTGCTTTGCTTTAAAGTCCTTATCTAATCAAGAAAAATGGCCCCTTTTGGCCACATAAACCAGAGACTTCATCAGCCTGAGACCAGAAGAACTAGAGGACCACCAATGACCGCCCTGACAGGGAACACAACAGAGAGTCCCGGATGGAGCAGGAGAAAGGTGGGGAGCAGAACTCAAATTCTAGTAAGAAGACCAGACTTAATGGTCTGAGACTGGAGGAACCCCGGAAAGCATGGCCCCTGGATTCTCTATCAGCCCAGAACTAAAACAATTTGAGGCCAACTCTTCAGACCGGAATTGGACTGGACTGTGAGACATAAAGTGATACTCGTGAGGAGTGTGCCTCTTAGCTCAAGTAGATACAAGAGACTAAACAGGCAGCTTCTGTTCAGAGGTGAGACCGGGAGGCAGAGAAGGTTAGGAGCTGGTTGAATGGACTTGGGGAATCAGGGGTGGAAAGGAGGAGTGTGCTGTCACAGTATGGGGAGAGCAATCAGAGTCACATAACAATGTATGTATAAATTTTTGTATGGGGAAAAAGAAAAATGGCCCCTTTCACTTTCATTTCTACTTTAAGATTTGTATTCCTTTAGAGGAAAGGCCACTTACTTAACAGCAAGTCTGTTCTTCTTGACTTCTATTAGACATCAGTAAGACAATCAGTTTGATTCAGACATTACAGGAAGTTACTTGAGGGTTTCAGGAACTCTGAGAATGTGAGGTAAAGGGATTCAAATTGCCCTTTCTGCCCTTTCCAATCATTCTTCTTAGGTTCCCACTAAAAGCATTTTAAAATAAGCCAGCAATTCTCCCACACCTGTCTTATGACTGACATTTCTGAATCTACTTTGGATGGTATCAAATACGTAGGCACCGCTGCCGGTTCCATTTGGTGGGTAGACCTGGTATATAAAGGGAGCCCTTCAAGGACTGAATCTACTGAAAGATACAAGTGATTATACATTTTCTACAAGTAGGCTGCCTACCTATATGCATCTGTGAGAACACACCCATTAGTTAACCGAATCTTAAGATGGGGGCGCTTATCTGTCTTGATATCCCTAGTGCCTAATACAACTCCCACCACATAGCAAGTGTCCATTCAATCAGCCAGTACTTAGCAGGTGCTAACTAGGTGCTGGGCATCATGCTGGACACTGGGGACTATGGTGATGAACATAATTTAGGGGGAATTGGGCAAGAACAAAGACAATTATTATACAGAGGGATAAATGCTAGCAAGGAGGGTGTGTAGGGCAACAAGAACACAGGCAGGGTATCCGGTTCAGCTTTGAGGGCATTGGAGATCTCCTGGAAGCAAAGGATGTCTAAGCAAAGACATGACGAAACAGTAGGAGTTCACCAGATTAAGAGAGGCTAAGAGGATTTTTCTAAGCAGGAATAACATCAAAGGCAAAGAACTCAATCAAGGTTTGTTGACTCAAGCTGAATTAAATTCTCCTTTTGTAAAATCACTAGAAAGCTGACTGAATCCTGGGGACGTGGAGTTGCCTTGTAAGACTCTGTTATATTAAATACCCGTAACATTATTCTTCCTTTCTATTTTCATGTGGAAATTCCTGAAGAAACTATCATCCCTGCTATAACAGCGGCTATATCAGGTTACGGGGCCCTGCTGGCACAGTGGTTAAGTGTTTAGCTGCTAACCAAAGGTCGACAATTTGAATCGACCAGCCACTCCTTAGAAAACCTATGGGGCAGTTCTACTCTGTCCTATAGGGTTGCTATGAATCGGAATCGACCCGATGGCAATGGGTTTATTTGTTTGTTTTGTTTTTAATATAAGGTTATATCAGATACCTGAGGATAAATTCACTCATTCTAAACTCCTATGCAGTTTAAAATGTCATTCTTCATCATGTGTTTTCCAGATTAAAGATGCTCAACTGAAAAATGCTCAGTGTATCCTGCGAATTGATAATGCCAAACTGGCTGCTGAGGATTTCAGGCTGAAGTAGGTTCTCTGATACCGCGGTAACATTTCCTGAAAAAGAATTCCTTTAAATGGTCTTTCATGACACCCGACTTGCAATGTTACTGTTGGTAAAGGAGCTACCATTAAAGATTTTGAGAATCTTAGTTTCCAGGGTGTCAGAAGCTATCTGGTCTGACCCAGCACTCAGTGCTGGGCTTCTGTCTCCCACAATCTTAAGACGTGGTCATCCAGCGTGTAACTGAGCACCTCAAGTAACTACTATTGTTCTCACTGACTACCTCTGATGATGCTGAGGTGTTCTTTCTTATAGTAACCTATGATCTACCTTTCTACCAAGTAAACCGAATTCCATTGATTCTCCAAGTTGGACATTCGTGTTCCTTCAAATACTTACACGTGTATGACCCAAGTTCCAGGGGTGTTTGTTGATGCTTCCTAGCTTGCCAGACTTTTACAATGTGGGCTAGCTAGCCATTTTATTTGTAGTCATTTTGTCTGTAGTCACATCACACCTCAGGAGATCAAAGCTTTTCCTCTTAAACTTCTTTCACACTAGGGCTTCTTCATCCTGAATTTGTACAATACCTTGTCACTGAAAAGTCCTGTGTGGTTTAGAAGGATGGCATTTTAATGCTACAAGGGATTCAAAAGAAGTAAATGGAAAAGCATATCTGAAGGTCAAAGCAGTAAAAGTTCATTAATTCCAATCCTACTAAGTCAGCATCTGAGTGTCCCATTGCATTCTTTTTTTTTCAATAAGTTTTGCTATTAAAAAAAAAAAAAAGAATGGATATAGGATTGTAGAGGAGAATGCATGATTGTTTAACTCACTCTGGATGAATCTGTTTACAAAGTAATAAAAATAAACTGATCACGTACATTCATTAAGTTACATTTAATGTCAATAACAAAAGTCCTTTGCTAACACTGTAATTAAAGCAATTTTTTTTCTTTTAAAATATATTCTAGAATTGCCAAGGATGGGAGGGGTGGGGGGGGGAATACTAAATAGTCAATAGATAAGTGGTATCTTGGGTGAAGGGTGAGACAGTACACAATACAGGGGAAACCAGCACA